TGAAATTCTTGTTAAAGCTTTTTCACAGCTGAAGTACAAGGTATTTATGGAACTGTCATTTTTTATTACTAAGTTGAAGATATGTACTGGATTGTTCATTGAGACAATACACTAACCGTCAATCAAAAATATATAAGAGTACAGTGGCGGATCCAGGATTTTTCAAAGGGGGGTTCCATTTCTTAAACTGTGTATAATTCTCTTTTATTTAGTCGATGTTGGACAAAAAAATTGGCTCTAATCACCTAATTTACTATTTAGTAACGGAACTTAAAGGTAAATTAAACATAACAGCAAATATTTATCATTTCGTGTTCAACATTATCTTTGTGGATACTTTTAAGCAAAATTTATATAAGACATATTTCTATTACCTAAAAGATCAAACCTTCAAGGGGGGTTCCGTGGACCCCTACGACCCCCCCTGGATCCGCCACTGGAGTATAATATTATATGGTCATTTACTGGGTACATTATGACATATGGCCTGCACACTGCTAGGCTTAATATGTCCAGATTTAGTTTAGTTCAGGAAACAATGGTAATAGACCACAATCAATTTTTGAATAACTAAAAATGAATTCAAAATTCAACAGGTGGCTTCAGGCCCCGTCCACGCTATGCCGGATAAATTTGAATCCGCAACTTTATTAATCCGTAACAATACTTCAACAAAAACGGAGCTTTTCGAATACACGGTCTCCAGAGTGGAACAATTTGAAAACGCCGGCTAGCCGTAGTAATGTTGATGGAGAACATTTTGTATCCGGAACTTTTCGAATACGATGACGTCATGATTGTCATGGGAACATGGCGGGAAGGCTAACGATTCACCGCGGGCTCAATTTCAGCTTAGATGCACATGCTCAGATGTGCAATGAAGTGCTTTTGCCGCCTCTGATCGGACTAGTCTGGACGCGAGACATTTTCTCCGTTTTCATGTGTGGACGGAAAGCTTTTTTTTTWAATTTCGGTGTGAAAGTTGCTGATTCACATTTATCCGGCATAGTGTGGACGGGGCCTTAGTAATTAACTTAGGGCAGCTAGTGTATGTCGACCAATGGTGGTGATATTAATAAGTATTTTATCCACACTGCATACTCATTACCGAGTCACGGGAATTAAGATATGGAAGGTGACTGCGACTGCTGGCAATGAGCATGCGAAAAGTATGCATGCGATGCGTCGTCAACCGCCACCAGGGGAGGTGGGTGGGGTGAATCTTCTACTCTCTCCTTAGGCAGCTTCCGGAATGATTCAAGGATCTGGGTGTTGCGCTTATATATGGAGGGGTCGCAAAGCATTACACCTGCACTGCGCAAACTCCAATGTCCATATATGGGGGGCTGCTAAATTCCTACGTGACATGCTAATTATGTATGCAGTGAGAATAGTACATTCATGACATGGGGTGGGTAAAGAGGAAGGGCAGGCTTGATATCATCTTGATATTCAAGTTATTTTCCAGGTGCTATGGAAATATAACAGAAACTTCTCTCATGTCGAAAACATCAAGACAGTGGCTTG